TAGCATCAACATTCTCTGTCCTTGCTGCGGATTTAGATTCACTATGGTCTCAATTTAAGAGCGAAGACGAGTCTGAATTAGATTGCCTATTAGTGTTAGATAAAATAAATGATTATTCCACTGATCTATCGAGTGAAGTGAGGAAGTTGATAGGTGAAGCTAAGGCGGTGGCCACCAGTCTCATCCCCACAGGTGCGGAGGCCATTGACCTGTCATACATAACCAAGACAGTACCCGCAACAGGCGCCATGACAAATAGCGGTGCGGCGTCTACCTCCAGTACACCCTCATTCTCGCGTCTACCGGAGATCCCGTTACCGTCTTTCGACGGAGACTTTCGTTATTGGCCTACATTTCGAGATAGGTTTTCGGCACTGGTGGACTCGCGTTCTGATGTATCAAATATCGATAAGATGCATTACTTAATCAGTTGTTTAAAAGGTGYAGCGGCCGACGCTGTTCGCGGTATACCAGTATCTGCGGATAATTATAGTTTAGTCTGGTCCACACTGTCTGCTCGTTTTTATCGACCACGCCTAGTGGCTACGTCTCTGGTCGATAAGTTGTTGCAAACGTCATATATGACTCAGGAATCTCACCGAGAACTTAATGAATTTGTTAACTCGTTTACAGGAAATATGTCGTTACTAAACGCACTGAAGATACCGGATTTAGGGTCGTTTATATTATTTTCTATTGCGTTTCGCGCGTTGCCGGTGCCCACTCGGAAGTTGTTCGAATCAACCACTACGTCAGAGTATCCGTCCGTAGCCCAACTGTTAGAGTTCGTCCAGACTCGCGTATCGGTTTTAGAACTCGCAGGTGAGCCGCGTAAAAAGTTAGGTGCCACTACGTCSACAAATGTCGGTCAACCGGCACATCAGTCGCGTAAGGTGGGAGAACGATTTGTAAAGGCGGAGGGCTTCCGACCTGTTCCCACTTCATTAGTTACGTCGGATTCGAACAAAGGTTGTCCATGTTGTGCGGAGCATCATAGTTTGACAGCTTGCGCGCGGTTCAAGTCCTGGTCTGCCGACGCGCGGGCGCGGTGGACGCAAGATAAGCGCCTGTGTTATATTTGTTTTAGTAGTAGCCATTGGGCACCAAAGTGCAAGTCGAAAAATCGTTGCCGTGAGTGTTCGCGTAGGCACCACGTCCTGCTTCACCCTCCCGCTACAGGTGCCGTTGAAGTCGCTGATACCCCCTCTCATACACCTTCTCCGGATACATCCGTGTGTGCCGCCGCGTTACAGCCGCCGCAATGTGAATCGTCCGCCGTATTATTAGGCACAGCGTTAGTGCATGTACGTGATCGTTCGGGTACCTGGCAAACAATGCGTGCGTTGGTTGATAGTGCATCACAGATAAGCGCAGTGACAGGTGATTGTGTTAGCCGTTTAGGTTTAAAATGTGAGCGGTGGACCACTCCGATTAGCGGGTTAGCGGGAGTGCCGGTTGTGAACGTTCAGGGCC